CCGCCACCCCCGACATTTATTATTGCGCCCCCCCCCCCCCCCTTCCATAAGCCCGAATCGCAAAACAAGATCTGGGGGGGGGGGGGGTTTATTAATGTCTTATGAACATTTCATAACTTATATAGCGCATGCTGCATGATTAGTGTTGCCACAACAGGTTCTGAGAGTCCAGACTTGAGACTGCATGAAAGGCGTCTGCTCTGTGGCAACGTCATGCCATTTCAACTTTCACTCGTGCTGGATACTATATAATCCCAGTTTCCATTTCATTTTCCATTTGATTCTTCACTATTATAGTTTCCATTTTATTTTCCATTATCCCTATATAACCCCAATAATATACCCTATAATCCCTATAGTAGTTTAGGCTGGGAATGCCCGCCTTAAGGACAATACAGTCCTTGTCGTCCGCATCGTCTGGGTTGTCGCCTGGGGCCCCGCAGATCACCCGGCAAAGAATGCCAATCTTGATGCCATCCTCACAGGTATTCGGAGGCTGCAGCTTCTTATACATAACATCCAAGAACGCAGGTGCGCTGATATCAAACGGTCCTGTGATCTGACGTGCTTGAGAGCCGTATCCAGGCTTTCGTAGAAGCAGGTGCCGTATCCGTACTTGCGTGAGGCTTTCATGGTGCCTTTGCTTATGTCCTCCGCACGTGACTTCTGGACGGGGCTGTGCTCAGAGTTCGTAACAGACATGCAGGCAAAACACTGGGACCTGCATAGGATTTACAGCCGAGGCTTTCAGCGACCTGTTAATTAAGCGAAGTTCCACTTTGACACTCTTAGGGAAGCCAAGGCCCAGCGACGGAATTAAATGGGAGAACCTCTGGCTTCTTGCTGCTTGGCTCTGCTTTGAGCATCAACAAGTCGCAGCGCTCAGAACTTGGTCCTGCGCCTCCTCTTTGCTTGAACCTGGTGACACAACATAAGCTGACAGTCGCCGGGGCTGCCAGGCCACAAGGTCAGACAAGCATGCTTGCAAAGACCCGGACAAGCCATCCAAAGGAAAGCTTCATGGAGCCGCTTGTCAAGTTCATCTACCTGGTGATGCTGCTTCTAGACTACAAGGCTGCGCCAGGCCCCCGCTCTCATGCGAAGGCAACTGGGCTTCCAGCAGGCAGCCGCCGCCCAGCTGCTAAGCCCTCCTCCCCGAGGTCTGCTGCAAACTCATTGTGAGAGAACCTACCAGGCCACCAGACACATCGAAACCTTCTCAACGACCATATCAACCCGTATTGCCTGCACTTGTCGCCCTTTTTGCAGCCCTTCTTCAGGAACTTGCATGGGCGCTTAGTCAGAGCTCGCAGATCTCTCCTTACGAGCACCGAAGTTTCTCACAAGACAAGACTGTCATATCACCCCCATTGCAGCTGAGGATCTCTACCAAGTTCACCTTGAGAGTCAGGGGCAAATCGCTCAAGTCTTCATCCGAAAGACGCTCCCGCAAGCTGGCTTTCACCTCGACCTGAGTCCCAAGCCAAGCCATGCGCATGTAATCTAGGTGCGAAACGTTCACGAGCAAACAATGACCCCATCTTACCCTAATATACTATAGTAGTTTCCATGTTCTTTTCCATTATCCCCATATAACCCCAATATATACCATATAATCCCTGCATACACCTATATAAACCCCAATGTAATCCCTCTAGTTTCCATTTTACCCTAAACCCTAAACCCTAAAGTAGTTTCCATCTTGCACCAAGCAGCCCATTTTTCCCAAAGATCAGCATCTTCAAGCCGCCAAATGTCATAGACACTCCGGCTGGGCTTCACGCGTGACTGGTTGACCAACTCGGCAGAGCATACATTTCAGTACAGGAGGTGCTAACCTAACTGCAACGCTGCGGAGTAAGTCCCGAACACATTGCATGTGATTCTTGCCAGCATCTGCCAAGCATCATGCAAGTATGAGGTGTGAATGGCCAGTAGCAGCAGCATGCCTGGTAGTGGATACGGTTCGCTGAATCGCGTTTTGGTCAGATTGGTGGCCACATTCCTGCAGATGCTCATGCCCGCACATGCGGTGACAGAAGCTGTCTTTGATCTCGAACGCGTGTATCATTGCCACAGGAACAAGTCCTCCAATGTAACGGCACTTGCATGAAGAATTTGTGCTTCCGCATCTGTTCAATATCGCCTTCATCATCCTAAGTGCAAGTTGGTGCAACCGCTTGGGCGGCTTCGGGTTGGCTTCTGCCTGCATACTGTTTCGCAATGTTTCGCATGCAGCTTTGATTTTCAGGGGCTCGTTCTGCCGGCGGCACTTCTGGAAGATTGCATACCGAGCATTTCATGCTTCAGAAAGACTATGTGCAGGCAGAATTCTTTGGCATATACACGCTGATAAAGGACAAGGTATTCTGGGTAACACTGGTCGGCATCGTAAACAACCAGCTCGCGGAATAAGCCTGGGCTTTCAAAACTTGAAGCAGTCGGACCCAGGAAGCCAAGATGTTACATCATTTAAACAAGCTGAAAGAGCTAAGGTACGGGTGCCACACGTGCTGTCGAATTCTCCCGCCATCACCCGCTCGCCTGCTTTGGGGTCGCCCTTTGTGCAATTCAGCTTGCCCATGGTTAGCCGGCACACGAGGACAGAGAACACTCCATCCTTGGTGCAAATCAACAGCATCGCGTGCTTTGCTTGGCAACCTAAAGATTCAAAGCCATCACTGAACAAAAGATTGGGCTGGTTGCGTAGTAACCGTCAGGCTCATCCTTGGCATACTCATCCGCCTCCACCAGCATTCTAGAATATTTCTAGCTGAAGGACCCCAAGGCCAACACCTCCAACGCGGCAGGCCTTTGTGATGGACTCACCAAGGTAGGCACCTCGACCATACAGCGTTCCAGTACTGGAGCCTGCAAGATCGATGTTGAAGTCCTTAGAACAAATGTGTTGAGTTAGTCATTCCTACATGAATGTCAACCCAGGACCCTAGCAAGCTTTCGTGCCTCTGAAGCATGCCAGTCTGCTGGCAAGGCTCATTTTCAGCTATGGACAAGGCATATCGAACGAAGGTGCCATGGAAAGCATAGACCTCATTCACGGAGCTGTCCAGCGGAGAAAAAATGCCTCAAGACCAGAGGCAAACTCGTCACGGCACAGGGAGGCTTCTGCCCTGGCATCTCTTGCTCTGCAAATCCGCTGTGAACTCAAACCGAGCTGCTGGGATATTTCTCGGCCACGGACCGCGTTAGCACAGGAGGGTCAAACTCCTGAATGCCCTCGCTTTCGCGGCTCTCGCGGATTTCATTCCGCTTCGCCACGTATCCTTAGATATCTCCAGCAGCGTATGTCAGAATGAGAAGCTGCGCAAGGTGCTGTCGGGGCTCTTTGCCAAATATCGGATGCCTGTCAGATGCAGCCCTACTCAGCGAGATTTGAGATGGATTTTGACTGCTTCCAACCTCTACCCGGATCACACGACGTACGCGGTACTGTGTGGGAAGCCCAGGATCAGCACCAGGCCTCAGAGGAACAAGAACTGCATCCAGCATGTTTGAGGTTGGATAGGCTGTAGCCAAGTGGTACATCAGAATTTCTTGCCATGCGCAAGCTACAAGGATCCATGACGATGCCGCAAGCAATGCCCACGCGATACCCCTGACCCCGACGGGTCACGCTGACCCCCTCCCCCTTGTGAATCTAAACTCCCGCGCGTTGATGTATATAAGATCATACAAGGCCTTGGGTATAGGTTGATGGCATGAAGTCCTGAGCGAAATCTACGAGGACGCTGGCTGTTATGATTTTGTCTCTGAATTTCCCCCTTCATTTGATACACAACTGGAAAGTGTTGTAACCTTGGTTGGGGTCGCACTGTAGTTTGCTTTGCCCTGTGCGGAGTACTGTGCAGGCACCTGCTATGGGCATAGCACAGCATGGCCCGTCCTTTGCGTTTGTTTTGCTATGACTTCCCGCAAATGCTGCTTCATTCAGAAGTCATCTCTACCAGGACAAGTTGAAAAACAGACACGTTTCTGAAACGCTAGAAACAGCTGTCATGAGTCATGAGACAAAATATATCAAACCACCTTCTGCTGTGGCAATTCAACGCTATCGTTGCCAAAGTACCATTGGTGAACCTTGCCCTGGCCACTTAAGCTAAACATGATCCGATGGGATTGCCGGCTTACCTGGGCTGCTGAGGTGCTGAACGCAAGGACAACCACCTGGCGTCTTGCCATGTGTTGCAGAAGGACAAGGGCGATCTTGCGTAGATTTTGCTACCTTGCAAAGGGAGAGCTTTTTTGCTTGCCAAAGCAGAGCACGAGTTGCTTTCATACTGGACAGTCTGACTGATGCGGTCGTATCTGATGCTAAATGCCGCTTGTTGCGTATGACGCTGCAAACATCTCCTCAAACGCTGCGTGATCTGTCTCTGGAGCATAGAACCTGATGTCGTGGGCTCAGCACAATGGGGACAAAATTGGTCAGCCTGCTGTGAGATAAGCCCACCAAATCTAGCACTGGTCTCTGACCACCAGCAAAATGTAGCAGGCCTAGGCCTAAACGGTCATGGTTGTTATTGATTTACATCAACGTTCTAGCTCTTGATTTGGTAGCTTTGAAAAGTCCGCACTTGAAACACCTAAACCGAGGCAACCAAATTTGCTGGCCGCGGCACATGTCATCAAACGAACGGCCATCCGCAGGATCTGCGGTCTTGGAGTGATACCTGAAGCTATTTGCGCTCGTTCTGCTTGAATGACGATTACCGTGGGCTTGCTGCCAAGGCACCAATGTTCTGGAAGCGCGCCATCACCAGCCGTGGAAACTTCGCTTCGCTGGCTAATTTTGGGGACGTCACCTTTTGGCGCATCGTCCGCGGTTCTGGACACGCTTCCGCCAGAGCTGGTCCTGACCTGCAGGGTCAGCACCATCACTGTCATGCTGATAATTTGAGTAGAGAATGAGGGCGAAAGCGCTTGGTAGCTCTGCGAGCAAGAGGCTGGAGTAGGAGCAGAATGGATGACCTTCGGTGCTTCCGATGTTTTGCTTGCGCCGGAACCCATGGCTTGTCATGACCAGCACAATGGCTCACCTTGAGCACAATGGCACGCAGCGGAAGATTTCAACAGGCGCTTCGACAATTTCACCCGCAAATCCGTGTGCATATATGGTCCTCAGCAACGCTGCATGCTGGCTGGGCTTCAAGGCTTTGCTTCGCAAGCAGTGTGTCATGATGCTATGAGGGGAACCCTGACTGCCGCCATCGGCTGGAAGGGCACAGACCTTGCAGCTGGAATTTTCCAGCGAGCTCTGAAACCTCAATCAGGATTCGTAGTGCCTTGAAAGAGATTTAAAACGCTGACGTGAAGCTTGACATCGTGCCATACCAGCAGCCTGCCAAGGGTGAGACACAAAGGGCGTATCACTCGGCAGCCACACAACAGAGCATGCCTGGCGCAGAGCAAAGCCAGCTGCGCAAACTGCTGTCACGTTTTGATATCGTTAAATGTCAAAGTGGGTGCCGGTTAATGGGAATTTTGGGAATGTCAGCTACGTGCGCACTATGCTCTCACGATGGCGGCTGCATTCACGAAAGCTCGAAAAAACTGGCCACATCTGAAATGTTTCCTCAAACCGCGATGCCGGACTGGAAATGCGCTCAATTAACTGATGATCTAAAATTTATCAACGCATCGCATGTCATATGAGCGGCCCTCGAAGCGGTGGCCTTTAGGTCAGCCCCCCTCTCTGTTCGAACTCGAAAAACTTGAATATTCAGCCTTATGGCTAGGCTTGGCTCAAGAAAGAAAAGTGAAGGCAAACTCCCATGAGCTCCAAAAGGCTTGCTTTTGTAACATAGCCCAGCCGCTGGCCATGGAGCAAACGGTTACACAAAAAGCATAGACAGCTGCGCGTCTCAAACAAGACGCACAACACATGTACAGCACTTGAATAATCGACAAGGTCAATCGACATTTTCGACCAGGGTAACACCAGTTGTTTCAGGCACAACCCAATGACTTCGGCCATCACAACATGGACCTCCTTCATTGCATGCTCCACATTAACGCAGTATGGTGGAAGAACCCCAGCTGTTCGGTGACAGGGAGGGGGGGTTAATACTACGGGGATGCGACTAATGCACCTAATTACGTACGGATCCCATCATTTTGGTACTGTATGGATGCTCTCTTCGACTGCGCCTGCGAGACCAAAGTCCTAAACAGCCACCATCATCACGCAGATAGTTATCAGTACCAACAGACATACATGCAGCAAGAAAAGATCTCAATCCCAAGGATATTCCAAAATCATTTCAATTTGTCGAGATTAGGTTCCTGGGACAGTAGTAGTGGGCTTAGATCATGATACGTACTAATTCCCAATCCATATCAAACTTGGTAGTTTCCCAACATAGGGGCCCCTAATATAGACCTCCAAAATACTATATTCCTTATTGTAAGGGACCCTTCCCCCAACAGGCATCCCTCCTGCTTCCCCGGGCTCTCCCGGCTCATCGATAGCCAGAGGAGGATCTTCCTTGCCTCAAGCCGTGACTTTGGGCCGACCATGCGCCATGCCATGAACGCGGCAAACGCAGCGCACTGTACATTGTAGAATATTTTCGTACATTGTAGTATACTACAGTATCTTGTAATATGTTATAGAATATTGTAGCATGGGTTTCCGTGAATGGGTTGGGGGCTCTCTTTGACAACATCATGGTTGAAGCACACTCTGCGCCTGTAGGTACCTTATCCATGCTGTCGATCATCTTCTCGGTCTCCTGACTCTATGACTCTATTGACGAGTCTTTGCGGAAATGTGGTTGCCATCTGAGCTATAGTCCAAACTCCTAGTATCCCCCTTAGTAACCCCTATAGTAGTCCCCTATATAATCCCCTATATGACCCCCCTTAAAGGAGTTTAGACTATGCTCATCTGAGCTTGTGCCGTCCCCACACAGTCCTCGTCTTCACTGCTGTGCAACGTCAAACGGTACTCAGGATAAACGCCGCCTCAGGGTGCAAGTAAGTGCTCCACAGAAAGAATTCACTTGTGCCACGTCTTCTGGTTTGTGGCAAGCTGCTTCCATCTTTGACAAGTACTTCTCGGCGCCCACTTTCGTCGGTCTGTCAACCAAGCATTTTGCATCACGGTTGCAGTGGCCCATTTTGTCGTGTGCTCATGAGATGGCCTCAATGATCATGAAGTCTGTGTCATCATCAGTCACATCGACGCCGGGTAGCCCGCACATGACTCGACATAGCACAGCCACTTTCACGCCATCCTGTTGTGTTTATGAGCAGTGTTAGTCAGTGACGGAAGGACAAGCCACTCCGGCTAAACAGCCCGTACTGCCGACAGCCTTTCCCGTCGTCCGCTTCAAGGCGGTTTGCAAGCTTTCATAAAAGCGCGTCCCTGGCAGTGTCTCATCCTTCTTGACGTTGCCCTGGCTAATGTCCTTGTGTGGATGTTTGCAGGGCTGTTTGGGGCAATCCGACGTGTCTCACCAGGACCATGAAAAGATGGCTATGGGGCTCGCTGCTGCCTGGCTTCAATGGCTTCAGCTTCTGTGCCTCAGATGATCAGTGAAGCGGAGGCCGAAACCCAAGCACGTGACAAACCTCTTCAGACTCACAGAAGACCATCTCATCTGCCACGGCACATGGATACCACAGGAAGCCCTCATGCAAGCGCCTGTCAAGCTCATCCACCGGCAACCGTCGGCCAGCTGCAAGGCTCAAATCATCCAAATCTGCTCCAAATTCGTTGTGCGAAAACCTGGCTGCAGGTTTGCAAAACACCCAGAAACTGAACGGCCGGCATGGACAGCATCAGAACGGCCTGCATTTGTCGCCAGATTTGCAGCCCCGGGGGGTTCTGAAGAACTTGCACGGGCGCTTCATCAGCGCACGTAGATCTTTCCTTAAAACTCGAAGCCGAGGTCAGGAGCTTAAAGAGATCTGATAGACAAGGCTTGAAGTTGTCATGTGGCGAAACGATGTCAGATTTGCAGAACGGAGCGCTCCACAAAATTGAGCCGCAAATGATCTTCACTTTGGTCCGCTATCCTGCTACGCAGCGCTGCTTTGAATTGCACCTTGGCCGACGCTCAATTTGGATAGGGGACTGCCTAGGCTTTTGCAAATCGTCCATAGTGATCTAGAGCCAAAGGCACGTAGCGCTGCCACAATTGCGAATCCTCCAGCCGAATGGCCGACACAAGTGTGCGGCTGGGCTGGAGCTGTGCTTGATTCACCAACTCAGTGTGCAGAGCAAGCCAGAAAGGACGCATGCGGCACATCTTCTCAACTTCGATCTTCTGTAGAAAGCGATCGCAAGCAATGCCAGTTCTGAGATCGACACGCACTGCATCCAAGAGGTGCCCGGACCTGCAGAAACACGTGTGCTTTGCAAAGAGCAGCATCCAGAATTTCAGAGCAAGCCACGCTGCCACAACCAGTGGAACATACAGAATAAGACCCGCAGGGTGCGAGGGATTTCGCATGATGGCGTAGTACTTTGTGCAAGGCAAGGCCGCACAACACGTCGTAACTTCGTCCCATCAAGTCAGTAGCAGTAGGTCGGTTCGTCTGAGCTACTCCTAGCCGTTGGGAAGTCTGGGGGGAGAGACCGAACGAAACGAGCTTATGGCGCCCAAGCTTTCCAAACCGAAGCTCTTGCAAGTGTGGCCTGGTCCTAACATGTCACAGACTCGGGACATGCAAGTTCAAATAGAACTTTGGACGTTTAACAAAGGACCACTGATGACCCCTGCAAATATGCAAGTCGGAGGAAACTCCGCACACTTGTTGGATCTGCTCGATTTCATTGTGAGAAGCATATTTTCAGTAGCTCCCACACTTTTGACCTTTATGGCTCGTGACAGAGTGAATGTGTTACAGTTCACCTTCCGACGGGCACTGACTCTCTTTTCTAGAGGAATGGCTACAGATGCCAAGCACCTATTACCGCAGTTCCAGCACCTGGCAGCTCGATCTCTTCCCGAAAGCCGGCAGCCAGGTCAGTCGCCACGTTCCTGCTCACACATTGCAAAAGAAGTTGAGGGAATCAGCATGGGAGTCGCCCACACAGGACTCTGTCCCATCTGAGCTCATCAAGCTCGATGCTTTCTAACACATTTTGGCAAGCCTTAATCGGCCGCATGGTGTTTTTAAGGCAGTGTTGTACCCTCCTGTGATGCATCGTCTCCATCAGCAGCTGCGAGCTGTCCTCCAATGAAGCGGCACCTGCATGAAAAAGCGGCGCTTCCGCGTCTTGGAGACCTCCTCCTCAGGATCCTGCAGCAAAGAGGACATTTCTCTTGAAGATGCGTAGCATGCGGCCGAGTCTGCAAGGGGCTCGTGGGATCTGCCTTTGCGTACTTTCTCTTGTACAGGACGACATATTCTGGATAGCACTGATCGGCATCATAGATTACCAGCTCTCGGAAGACACCTGACATCTTCGCAAGAAGACTGCACATCATGTAGGGCAAATGCGTCCGCTTCAGACACATGATAATCACCACAAGCTCCTGTGCCTGGAATCATGCCCCACTACCTTAAACTGTGCGCCCTCAGCCAAGGCACGAGTGCCGCAGGTGCTGTCGAACTGTCCAGCCTTCACTTTCTCTGCCGCTTTGCTGTCGAAACTGGTTGAGTTCAGCTTCCCCATGACTACTCGGCAAACCAGGACCGCGAACACCCCGTCCTTAGCACATATTGCTATCTGCGCATTTTGACTTGCACTCGTCTCAAAATACTGCGGGAGAATTTATGGCCAAAGCACATAATACCCTCCAGGCTCATCCTTTGCATATTCATCGGCCTGATGCAGCAGATTTTCTGCGGAACTACCGGTCTTTCATTCTGAGCCATGCCTTGCTGATAGACTCGCCAAGGTATGCCCCTCGGCCATACAGCGTTCCAGTGCTGGAACCAGCGAGATCTATTCTGAAGGCCTGAATGGAGCTGCCGCCACGATGTCATGTTTCTTCCCAAATTGCCCAAAGCCAAAAAACTCGGTATGAGTGCCACTGCTGCTTTATCTGGGTGCACAGGAAAACCATCGTTTTTCATGCTTGCTACGGTCCGCGGTACAAAGCGTGAGGAAGGTCTGGCGCGACTAGCAACAAACAGAACACATGTGCCTGGTTGCAGCCATGATACGTTTTCTGCAATGGACAGTGCAAATCGAACCTGGGTGCCATGGAAAGCATACACCTCGTTCACCGAGGCATCCAATGGTGCGAAGGTACCTCAGACCATTGCTGGTCTTAGGACTCACAAGCACAAGAGTAAGGGGAGCACTGGTGCATCTTTCAATCATGCCAAACAATATTTCTGCGACTAGGTTGGAGCGGTGGAAACGTGAACAAAAGCGTAAAAAGCACAATGCTTGCTAGAAACGCGAAACATGCAAATGCTGCGAAATGCCTGACAAACCCATGTACTCTGTGGTTACAGTTGCAGGTCTGACCAGCCTCTATGTTGTGTAACAAAATCTATACTACACAGCTGTAGTAAGAATTCCAGAAGTTTCTGCTGTCGCTCCATCCTCCTGCTGCCTCAACTTGCATGGGGGAAGGAGGGAATTCCTCGCACCCCGTCCGACCTAGACCCGACGGAACCCATCTTTTCATGTCGTTGTCTGCCACTTCTGCAGGTGTACAACCCTACAACTATATGGTGTCCGCATGTATCCGCAGCGTCCAAGTACACCCTGCTGGCTACACTTGTACCCTGTGTGCCTGTCATGTGCCGAACCTTGCTTGTCATCAGGACTAAAGAAGGTAGATCCTGCCGCGCGCTACCATCAAGAGTGGCTTCGAAGTAAGCCGCATGTTTGACCTGATGTAACCCGGTGACCCTTTTCGATGCAGTCAGAGATGCAAATTCTGATGCCTCCCCCGCCTCTACCAATGGCCCTTATCGCCAAAATCATGCTGGGCTATCCTTTTGGGTTCTGAATCAAGCAACCCTGAACATCCTGAACCCTAAACCCCTAAATTCTGAATCAGGCAAGTGGCCGGTATACTCACAGGCTTTGTTGTTTGTTTTAACCGGAGGATCAAATGCTTCGACGCCGCCGGGCCGGGCTTCAATGATGCTTCGCTTCTTTTTCTGGTAGCCTTGTCTGTTGCAACCCTAAACCCTAAACCCGATATAACCATATTGTAGTAAATTCCATTTCATTTTCCATTATCCCAGGGCCTTAGTGTTGAGGGTTTTAGGGTTTGGTTCTCTCCATTTGCATGGCCAATGCTGCGGCGCAAGCTCCAATCCCGTATGGCAACTGAGGTAAGCACAAACATTTCCCATTTAAAATATGACCCCAATATAGCCCTATTATAGTAGAGTAGTTTCCATTTTCCTTTCCATTATCCATACATAACCTCCAATATATGTTAGGGTTTTAGGCTTACCGGGTCTAGGGTTTGCATATTCGTCCATCACTGTCGCTGCCAAGAGTCGATCCCACAACTCCGAGGACTGGCACAAGTCAGGATGCAACGAATGAATTGTCTTGTTAGGGATATAAGTACCCATTGGGGTAATATTAGGGTTATATTGGGGGTATATGGTGGTTATGTTGGGGGAATGGAAAAGAAAATGGATACAACAGGGATTATATAGGGGTTACATGGGGGTTATACTGGGAATCGGGCAAAGGGACAATTATAGGGAGTCTCAGAAGAGCTCATATAGGGACGGCTGTTGTGATCCATTCCTCCCTTTTCTTACTAACAATCTGCAAGAATAGGAATTATCTGAACCCTAAAAGTAGGTAAAGTAATGGCCCCAAACCCCTTAAAATAGCCCGAAAGGGAGTTATTCTACATACTTTTAGGGTTCAGGTACAGCTTGCCAGCAACTCCAGAAGTTCAAGAAGGACAACCGCCAAAAAGAGTGGTATCAACGACAGCTTTCCCAAGCGGTGAATGTGCAGAAAGGCCTCCACGCGAATTACGCGCTGGACGTGAAAAGACACGGGCAGTCCAGGATCGCCTCCAGGCCTGCCCCCAATCAACCCTTCAGAAGCTATCACTATCACTATAAATATGACGGCAAAGAGCATCTCCAAAGCAGTCCCAGTTGAAGCCAAGTCACTGATTGCATGGGCAGCCTCCAGGTTTCTTGCCACACGTGCCCTTTGGGCAGGGGCGGTCCTGGGTCGTCTTGGGGACCTGCAGCGCAGACGAAGCGTGAACCAGCTTCTGGTGAACAACGATTTACTTATGGAAGTCTTGGGAAGGCAAGGAACGTAGGACTCTTCAATCATCTCCTGGAAGCAGTGGTGCTCCGAATCTGGAGCATAAAACCTATGCCGCAGTAGTCGGACATGGAAAAACAATGGCAGGAGGGTCTGTTGGTCTGATTACTTTGGCTCATGTCATTTCATAAGCGGGAAAGAACTGTAGTAACCGTCGCTTCTCAAACTTGCCCTGCAGCATGTCATCAAACCCTCCAGCGTTCGCTGTCTGGTCTGCGGTCTTGTTGTGGTACCTGGATCTGCCAAGACTTGCAGTCAAGGTCAGGGTCTCTAAGGTCACGCGAGGCCAAACCAAATTTGTAGCATATCCCTTAATAGGTCCCCCCCAAAACCCTATATATCCCTATATAGTCCCCATAGGTCCCCCCCAACCTAAATTTAGTCCATAGCTCATGTGATGAGGGGCCAGTATTCTGGATATCCATCATCACCGGGATTTCGCGTTGCTGCTGATGTGGTGCTCTCAGTGGCCGGTGCTGAGGCCGCTTTTGGATCCTCAGAGTTGCCAGCGCCGCCAACAGTACAAAATAATATGGTTTAAAGGGGAAAAATGGGTTAAATTAGGGTTAATATTGGGATAATGGAAAATAACATGGAAACTACTAGAATATATTTATGTGCCATCAACTTGCTCCCTGCCACTTCCCTGCCCTTGAGGCAAGCCACTGCAGCAGTGCTGGAGCTTGCGCATCCCATGGCTGCAGCACAAAGGTCGGAAAAGGTACCCCTGTTAAGACCAGGCTTCTAGATTGATGCGCTGCCTTTGCGTTCAGTGCCCTTGCTTCTGTTCTCTGGGCCCATGCCACCAAACAGATCCATGTTGTCGGAGTCAAGCACCTATTCCGTTGGCCCTGCTGTTCAGACACTGGGCCCCTTCATTTTACGTCTCGCCTGGGAACCTCAGTTTGAGGCCGTGGCTCAGTGAAATCCCAGCCACTTACTGGTCCTTAGCAGGGGATGAAGGAATGGAGCCCTATAGTGGTTTCCTTCCATTCCCTACCAACGAACAGGAAGGCTTGGAAGTCCGTCAGTCTTTGTGACGTTTTTGGCTACCCGGTCTGGCATGGCTCCTGCCAACTTTCTGGACAAGCGTTTGCAAAAAGCTCTGGTGCGATGCAATCGCACCCGGGGCTCTTTCAGAATTACATTTACTTCTGCACACATGAAATTGTCTTCTGGCCTGCCGTTAGAGGTCAAGCTTGATTCCGGACTTCGATTGACCTGGGACGTCACGGGACCGAGGGGGTGCTTCTCGCACCTTCTGGCTACGGAACACCTGCCCCCTGCTTCAAAACAGCGCCAGGTTGCTGCATGTCAGGCGGCTGCGTCGTTTCCGTGGTTGGGTTCACCCGGCGATCCTGACGCGGTAGCCCGGCACATAGGCCATCAAGACCGGCCAAGCAATGAACCATTTTGACAAATTTGAATGGTGCTGCAGCCATCATAAAAGTCCCAGCTAAGAAGGATTGATACACTCTTTTTCACAGAATCGTTTTCTGCTGGACTGTATGGAGGTCCTCCTCCTCACTAGCCGAAGCACCATGGCTCAGTTCGTCTGCTGGCCTGGGGATGGTGGGATACAATGGTATATTGGGGTGGTTGTATTGGGATAATGGAAAATAAGCTGGAAACGACTATGGTATATTGGGGTATATATGGGGTTATATTGGGGTCATATAAGGATAACGGAAAAGAAAATGGAAACTGCTATCTTATATTGGGGGTATATTTTGGGGTTATAGTTCCCCTTAAAGGCGGGCATAATCCGCTTTGGGCATCTGGCCTGCTCTCTTCTCCGGCCTGCACTGCTGCCTGTGGCACATGTAATGATGATAAGGCATCTGAGATACTGCAACTCAGGCCAATAGGTTCTACTTGGGCCACGACATTCAAGACGGAGAAGATCTCACCCACCCTGATGTGGCTTGCAGTGCTCTCCTGTTGTGGCCTCGATGGTAGCACCCTTCCAAACAACTTCAGTTGAGATGCAAGGTCAAACAAAGCACATCAAACGGCATGGACATGCTGGCAAGCAAAGACAACTCCGCGCCGATTTCTTAGCCTCTGGCCCTTGGTAAGCAAACCGCAGATTACCTGGGTCATGCACGCGCAGCAACAAGGCTTTTGCAAGGCAGGCCTACCCTTGAAGAATTGTGACTGCTGCTACTGTAACTTTTTTTTGAATTTGCGGGCGAGTTGGAAAAACTTTTGAAAACAGCTGGGATCAAGGCCGTTGGCCTCAAGGGTGGAGTACTGCAGCCTCAAACTAGCTGACTGTTGTAGCAGCTGGAGAGCCGCAGTATGGTAGCGGCTGCAAATGCCAAGCATCTGGCGATTCAGGCATGCATCCTACCTTAGAGAAGGCATTACAGAACATGGAAAGACAACTGCTGTGCTTGAGGCCAGGTCTGTGCCGTCCTGGAGGAACTTGAGAAAGCTCTTTTTGGTCAAGATGCCGCGCAAAACATCCTGCGAGCAAAGTTGCGGACACACCGGGAGCAATATGATAAGCCATTCCTGCTGGCCGCCAGGAATGGATCCCACGATGAAGATTCGCTGACAGCCAAGCCTGCAGTCGAAACAAGCAAAGCCGCCTGCCAAAGCAATGCGAAGCAGATGCTCATCTGTTTGTAAGCAGTCCAATTCTTAATTCGGAGCTCTAAGTGCGCAGCTGCTTGAAGACCTGGTGTGCTTGCGTCAGCGGGGCGTCAGGCACCATACGCATGACCTGCGCTCGCAGGCCTTTAGTGTGGCTATTGCCATTATGGGATGACAATTTGTGACCCAGAGGCCATGGCTGTCGAGTCAACCACTGGCCCAAGATCCTCCAGGGTCACCACCTGGTGGGCTTCTGCGGTGTGACGTGCCCGTGTTGTCTGTGCGGGAACTGCTGCGAAGGGCAACCGTGGCCTCATTCTGCCCACGGACGAGCTCCATGCGCGAGAGCCAATCTTCCAACCTTGAACACATAACTGCGGAGTTTATGATATCAACTTCACTTGTCCTCCTAGCCATAAAAAGACACTTGAGCTATCTTGAGTTGCCGACGCAGACCGGCGGACATAGCCAACCTAAACATCAAGGCATTGGGGCAGGAATTGCTGACCGTGGCCCTTGTGAGAGTCACCCCAGACTAGCAATGGCTGAGACGTGTACAAATCGATCGCCGTCCACCACAGGAAAGCCCCGAAAAGTGAATGCCCGGACCATCACACGGATATCCTTCCCAGTCTTTTCGCAAGACACTACGCCCTGACACCTGTATCCAATCCAGTCAGGTTTGCCAGGAAGCGAGGCCGAAGCTTCACATCCAGCTTCACTAGACCTGGCAACATCCAGGCTACAGTACCTCAAAACCTTTATGCCAACAGGCTTGCTGAGTCCTTTTTTTGCTAAACCCTTTCTTTTGACCGCATAGTTGCCTGTCTCCATGATGTCGCAGCAACGTTCCGTGAAAGTCACATCCAGCCTGGGTTTCTCGCGGTTACTTCAACAAGATTGCTGTGGGCTCGGCTAGGCTTCTTGCTCTTCGTGTAGGAAGGGATATCCTTTCAAGACAATCTGCAGGTCGTAGATGCCTTTCAACTCGAGCGGGTGACATCGAGTGACCATCCGTAATCTGAAGGGCTTTTGTATCTCGTCAATTTTGGGTTGTGAACGGGCTATTTATGTGCTGACAGGGTTTATAGTTCTGCACTTAATTTAACACATGTTGCTCAGAGGCCATGCGCATTCAGCTATCCTGTCCTTCTAATTCTAAGCAAGCACACCACATCATCACACGACAGTCCGTAGCCCTTTTATCCTTCCGCAACTGCAAAGCCCAGGGCCTTCATTCAGTGAGTCGCCAACGGCTTTGGCTAGCAAGACGGAAATCATGAATGGTACCACATAATCCAAGCCTGCAGCTCCATATGGTCAAGGATGCGTGATACAAGCAGAACCATGGGATGAAGCAACTGCCTCCCGTCAACTCCAGCATGATCACGACCAAGGATATGGTCCTTGGCAAACATCTAGAGCTTTTGCCGGAACACTGCATGAGCCCATTGCAGCTCCTCTGCAACTCCGTAGGTCGTCACAATCGTGCATGCTGCTTTAGGCATTTGTGGCTTTGTTTGAACCGTTCTGCGAGCCCTGCCTTAATCGTTCAGAATCTTGTTTGAAGCTTCCGAGTGGTCACCTTTTTAAGAGCGGTTACCGGCCTTTGTTTAGTATTCGTCCAAAGGCAAGCGGTTTCTTCCCGATGAGGTGACTCTTCCAACATGTGCGACAGTTACTGAGTGCGCAGCATGCGACTGACTCCTCCAAGAACTGAGGCCGCACCCACCATCGAATAGACCTAAGACTTGCAGGAAGTCACTGTCTGCCACATAACCGCTACATAAACCCAGCCGATATGAGGGGTGTCGCTTGTTTATGTGTTATGTTCCTATCGCTTTACAGAGTCTGGAGGCAATCAGCACAAGATTGAAGATTTAGGGTCTTGCTTCGAATACATTCAAGACTTGTTCAAAGCATGATCTTTGAAGATATTGGGGGGCCTCGCTTCTTAATGTTCCCTTCGCTTTACAAGGTTTTGGCCTTCCATGTCCAGCGCTGACTAAATTCCTTACCAACGAGTATTGACGGCGGCTCAATATGTAAATGCATGTATACATGTATCAGAATTCTGTCTAGTCCACATGTTCAGTGGCACCCTGGCTTGCACAGTCAGCTCGGGAGCCAGCACCAGGATCCACCTTGTGGGGGAACCTCAGGAGCCAGCAGGATACTATGCTATGTTTGTAGTCAACATTTTGATTCTCTACTACATCACTAGGAATATAAGATAATGCTCTTGCATTTCATTCTCATCACAAGACATAATGGCCAAGTATGCGATCCACCTGCTTCAAGAGGCTTCAGATGGTCGTTTCCCTAGATGGGGGACCCTAAAACAGACCCCAAAACACTACAATCCTAACTATCTGGACCTTTAAGATATCCTAAAATGGTACCCATAATTTTAGGAAACCCTGAGCCCTAAATAGTAGCTTCCATTTTCTTTTCCATTATCCCTATATATCCACTATATAAGCCCTATAATTCCTTTAAAGCTACCCCTTTTTGCATCCAGGCCTCTGATCCGCTAGCCGGGTAGGTTGCCAGCAACAGCAGTAGGTTTTCTACCGCAACAACCGACAAACTGATTGATACATGGAATCACTCAGGAAAGCTACCCCTAAATTTGGGAACCCCCAAATGAGCTATGGTCTAAACTCCTCGCGCTGCCTTCGCCAAGTGCCCGGACTCAGGATCTTGGCATGGGTTTATCATATCGGCCGAGGGTCAAAATCACTGGCAGGCGCAGTATTTCGGCCTCTTAAAGCATATTTGAGGGGTCCTGTGATGAGGCAATTGTTTGCGAAAAACATCTGGACTTTTTGCGCGGCCACTTTAACATCTTGGCCGAACTCCGGACCCCGACGCGCACGGTGACTGATGCGTGCCAAGAAGGCAAATCGTGGTTTTGCCATAGGAAAACCCTCATTTCCATACAATGATTCTGAATCATGCAGAAAGGAGTTAAGAGACTTGTCTGAATAGAGGTTGAGACAATACTGCGCCTGCCAGTCAAATTGAAGATGATCCGTGGAGAGAAGCTGAACTTGCATGGCAGGCGCAGTATTTCGGCTGCTTGCATGGCTTTGGAACTGGAATGTCGTGACGAAGATTTTCGAAAAAGCACGGCGCTTGTCTGTACACTGCAGGCGCCTGCACAACAGTGATGCTCTTTGAACACGAATGGAAGTATGGTTTGGGCATGGATGCTCTGGGTCGCCGTATGCTCTCGGAACACGATCGGGATTCTGGTTTGGGCATGGATGCTCTGGTCACCGTATGCTCTTGGAACACGAACGGGATTAGGGTTTGGGCATGGATGCTCTGGTCAGCAGCGTATACTCTCGGAACACGAACGGGAGTCTGGTTTGGGCATGATTGCTCTGGTGCCCGCATGCTCTCGGAACATGAACAGGATTAGGGTTTTGGGCATGGATGCTTTGGTCACGGTCTGCTCTTGGAACACGAACGATGGTTCGGGCATGGATGCTCTGGTCACCGTATACTCTTGGAACACGAGCGAATTATGGGCGAGTGCCCAGGGAGCCCGGGCACTTGGCGCAGGCGGAGCCAAACTCCTAGTATCCCCCTTAACAACCCTATACTTCATCATCCCCTATATAATCCCCTGTATAACCCCTTTCAGAGGAGTTTAGACCCTAAACCCTAAAACCCAAACCCTAAACCCTAAAACCCAAACCCTAAACCCTTGGCCCAAATGTCCTCTGCTGTAAGGCTGTGGGGCTCTGACAAGGCGGTGCCTGCGTGTAGCGCTCTGACACCCAAGGCGAGGCATCGCCTCAGAATTTATTTCTTATCACTATTATGATTATTATTATTAGTATTAATATTATTAATATTATTATTATGAGTATCACTATAAACATTATTATTTCTATTACTGCTGGTACTATTATTATGTACTGTCATTCGTTGCTACTGTTATTATAAGTCATCTTGAAACTGAATGTTACTATTAAGTTGACTCTTGCTTGGGAAGGCCTGGCTTTAGCGAATTTGTTCATGATCAGCGGCCTTCTTGGAATCCTTGTGCATTTCTGGCAATAAGCATCCAAACTGGGAGCGGGGCCCCAAACAGGCTCCAATGAACAGTGATGGGACGAAAAGGCCCGCCGGGCAGGCCTTGGATGTCCCCTCCAAGGTCCCAGCCTAACTCTGCGCTTGAAGAATCAAGCTCAATGAGGCTCAAGCTGTGCCGATTGTTAAAACCATTTGGCCTTCAACACGTGCGCAGTGCTCAATTTGCAAACAGGTTCCGAGACCTTCAGAAACCCTTGCAGGTGGACTGAGTGCGAGGCAGAAACGAAGGGCAGCTGCACAGCCGAGCGAAGTGAGAAGGCCGTCGCCAAAGGACTGCCCAGAGCAGGCACGAGCTCTCACACAGCATGTGCTGTCCACTCTGCCCACGCATCAATCGAATGTAACACTTGACGTTCAAAGCAGACATCTGCTCGACTGAATTCAACAGAGCTTGAAAAATCACATGCGAAGCGCGCTGTGCGGCTGGTCAGGACTAATATTACTTAACTTCTAAAAGCAGCGACCCCTACATCTCTGAGCCGCAGACATTGCTGTACCCATCCTCCGTGCACAAACCGAACTCGGCTTGCAACCTCGAGGGTCAATACCACATAAACCTTCAAGTGTCTGAGAGCCGGTCTTCCTCCGTCAGCAAGGCATGTCACTCCTGTCGGAGCCGCGCCTGCTCCGCACAGTCTCGCCAGGCTCGTCACTGCATGTATCGAAAAGCGCGTGGATTGTTGGCGCCTGAGCCGACGGGACAGATGTGCACAACAGGTTCCCATGCAACTCACTCTGAGGACCATACCATAAGATACCGCGTCAGGCTGAGGGGCCACGATGACACCAGCGTGAAAAACGCAAGCATTGAGGCCTGCGCCGCAAGGTCATGGCTTGCCCTCAACCGCCTCCACACAGCATGTACGCCCATCCTCCTGTACAGGCCCCAGCCAGCGCTTGAAGGCTGGCTTCTTCTTGAAGGCACACCACCTCCGGAACAAGGCTTCCAGAGTAAATTCGTTACCAGTAAACGGCCGTCAGGCAGCATCTTTGACAGCGTGGGCCATGGGTATCTACTGGGTGTTAAAGGCCGTGGCAACCAGCAATGAACCGAGACGCGCACTAACCCCTGTCATTGGAAGCATAAACGAACTAAAACATATCCATTTTCTTGGCAATGCATGGTAGAGTCTTAGCAGCTCCGCCTGATGTTCAAGGCGTTAAAGAGGGCGCCAACCTCAACATGTGACAGATTCTCAACATCACAAGCAGCAACAGAAAGGCTCTTGTCAAGCGGCTAGACCGCCAGCCACGCCGAGCAAAGCGAACATAACCTGTGATCAAGATGAGGCTGGTCTTGTGCGCTTCACGGCCTTTCAAGATGTTCCTGAGACAAGGGCATAATCACTGGGGTGGAGGGTCACCGTATAACGCCTGAAATCAGATTCTCCCATGTCAGAAGGGTGCGCAAGACATGCTGGAAGCTGCTGTAAGCTGGGCGATCTGCACACTGTACAGCGTCAGGTGCCCTGTGCCCGTCAGATCGGATACAGAGAGGAGAAGTGTGGCCACCACCTCAATCGAGGCATGACCTCCTGACATCCTATGACATTCCTATGACATTCCGCCATCCGCTTCACAGAGCAAACAGAATGTCTGAGAGCCGTGGCTGATGACACGAAAGCCATCAGCAGCGTCCTTGATGGAAAATTGGAGCTTACCTGCGGGTATTGGAACTTCATGCAGTGTCAGGATAGCGTCAGGTGCATGTGACATCCGAAGTGTGTGTCTCTGCAAGAGCAATGTAGCAAGTACACTGCATGCATCGAACACATGCTGCTAGGCGCTTCCTAAGGATGCCGACTTTGCATTTTTCCAATTGGCACCCTCACAGCGCGCAAGTGGGGTGTGTGTACAGATTTTTTTTTTACTTTAAGACAGAGATAACTATTTAGCATCCGTTCAGCAAGGCTTTCCGGCTTGTAGCACAACTCGGCAGGGTGTGCTAACAGGTCCACAGCTAGAGCCTATAGGGCCTATCTCTGTGCCTGATAAGTACCCCGACCTCTCAACAAAAGAAAAACCCAGCTTCTCCTAATGGATTTCGGCTTTCCTCAGTAGCACCTACATGAAAATTGTTCTTCCAGGATTGTTGGAACTGAGGGTACCCAAATACTGCTGAACAATGCACCTCAGTTTTCTCTTGCACCATCGCGCGCAAACTACGAAACCAGAACCTATTTCAGTCTACTTCCAAATGCGCTCACTTACAGGAAGGCGCATTCCTGGCGAATGCCTGCCATTCAAGCAGTCTCTACCTTCCTGGACTTATCCGGAGCGAGCGTGGTGAACACAATGCCGCTTCAGGAACTGGCCATGCAGCGCTGCATGGCTTCTTAAAATCACATGCGCTCTGTCAGGATATAGATGCCACATTCGATAGCTTCCTTTGGAAGCCTGCATCCGGCAAATCTAGCATCTGCGCCGACTGTTGTGCTCTGCCATGTGTTGATTCAGAAATCGCACAGCTTTCTCAAAGCTGTTGATGGTCTTAGAGGAACCTCCCCCAAACAGTCCGCCTGCACCTAAGACTGACAACGCGTGAAAATGAGGACTTCACGTCTGAGCGTGAATGGCTAATTTTGGGATCGGAATTCTGCCCGCACCAGCTATTTGCTGGATCAGGCCGGTCACTGTACGGGACATGTCTTACAGGCCTTGCATGGAGTACAAGGTACATCGCACCTTCCTTCCACCAATACATCGGGAATCGCCTTAGCGCCGTCGAGTTGAACGCGACTGCTGGCAACTGGCTTCTAAGGTGTTGGTTCAACAGGCTGCATTGCGTCTAGGGGTCGCCCACTGTGTCGAGCAAGGGCATGCCATCTGTGATGTCCTGCCCGAACGCCAGACATAATAGTAGGTGAGTTTTTGCCACTTTGAAAAGCACTGATGCTGAATGCTTGCTTCGTCAGGTGACAGCTATCAAATGCCAAAACCCACTGGCAACCTGTGCAGCTGAATGGTCAGCAACGTTCTTCGGAAGAAGGGATGCCAGAAGCTCCGTGACAGCTGTAAGGACAGCTTCTCCTGAGAGGACAATCCTCTGAGAACTTGACTATTGAGAAAACGCCCTGTGATAGTGGACAAAATGCTTTTTTGCCAAGATGCCTTCCAAATGCCAAGACCACTTGG